TAAAGATTAGAAATATTTTCTTCATGTACAGACTTTTCTTGGTTTGACTTACTGTCTCTCTAGTAGTCTTTAGTACTTCATTTGTTGTAATATATCCATTATGGCTTAAATGTTTGGTTTATATTTCCTATAGCAAAATGCATGATCTCTCGAGAGTTAAATTTAGTAGATTAAAATGAACTCCCTTCCAGTCTTTTCATATGGCAGCCTGTCCATAAGATCAAAACACATAAGTGTAGGTTATGTTTCATTTCCAAATCAGAATGTTGTGGACAGATGTTTGAAAGCTTAAAATGACTCAGATTCATTTGTTGCATGGCTTTCTGCCTGGATAACCATACTGTAGATCATGCCACTGCTGCTTTACTGATGTATTGCCATGATGACAACACGACATTTATAATTTTATCATAAGCTTTCTGTTAATGGTCCAGACTGTGTCTTTTGTAATGACCATGCAGCCAAACCACCATGTGAATGTGAAGAACCACTTCTATCTTTAATGTCAGCTGATCTCAGTCAGATAACATGATAGATTATCATTATTTTCGCCCTTTTCTGCATTTCCTTCAACTATATCCAGCTCAAGGTGACAGACTCAAAATTAGTGATATCTTGAATTGCTATAGTATGCTCTGTTTTTTCTTCACTATGTAGCTGTCTTTGTCTGTGTGTGGAACATAGTCAACCAGGGTTTTTACAGAAAACGTTTGAGTGACCATTTTATTTGAATATGGGCTCCCCACTGTCAATTTATGTTACAGTTTTTGCAGCTGATTTTTCATCAGAAAAGTAGCCGGTGTGTTTTACTTACTTCATTCACATTTTTTATTTAGACAATGATTCAAAACTCATTTGAGAAAACAGGCTTGCATAAAAAGATTTCATACACTTTAAAACTTACTTTTATAACATCAAGAAAAGAATGGTGAGAGAAGAGGGACATTTTTTTTTTTGCTTCCTTATATCAGGATAATTTAAAAAAATATTTTTTCTCAGTTTTAACCTAGTTAATCCATTCAAAATGCGAGCTGCTTAATGGAACAGGGACATCTTTATGACAAGTTTGTTTCTTTTGTAAAGCAACCATGAAAATGTTACACTGTAGCACATTTTAACTTTGTTTTTCTCTGTCTGCCTTCTTGTTTATAAGTTAAATACTTTTCCTGTCTTGTTTTGATACTTCTTCTTGCCCCTGGTGTAATTGCTCAAAGGACTCTCTGTCTGGGGTTTGCAGCAGAGCAGATTCAGACAGTTCTGCTTGGAGAAGGAAGTGGAGAGTTTTGGTTCCCATTTTGCACTTCTGGAACAGTTTAGGGAAGGAAGCACCTTTACACCTTTTATTGTTCGTGGTTGCTGACATCATATCCTTCCCTGACCACTCTGTGCGTGTTTCCTGCCATTCTGTCAAGATTCTTCTGTGTTGCAGAGCAGGGAAAGTGGGTGTGTATGTGTGTGTGTATGTGTGTGTGCCTGTATGTCTGTGTGTGAGTGTTCAAGAGGCAGGACCAGTCAAGTGATCTTCTGCATTTGTCGATTAGCTCTTTGCCCTTCTCAAGGCTCAGATCAATCTTCTGTCAGCTGCCACTGCCTCTGCCAAATCATTTAGTGAACAGAAGCCCGCCAAAAATGAAGTTCCTCTTTTTGTAAGCAGTCTGTTTTATTTATTTTTTTTTTTAATGTTTGGCTTTGCAAAAAGAAAAAATGCAGATGACTATAACACAATAGCATCTAACACTGCGTTTCTTTAAATGCAATTTGTTTGCATGTGACCTTATCATTAAGTTGGAAGGTTTCTTTTATGTGGAGGTACTTCAACAAAGTGCTTTTTAAATTCTCTTGGATGGTGGAAGCCTGCAGTGCTGTTTGAGTTTTGTAGTACATTCAACTTTTCTAGTCAATGTGCTTTACTAGTGTTAGGGAAATAATTTATCAGTTAAGAGGAACTTTAAATAGTAGTGCAATTTTTAACCTGGCAAGAACTTTCAAAAGGTGTTGAGAACACTGGTGAAGACCTAAAGCAACCATGGCAATTTTTTGGTCTCCAGAGGTCTTGACATTCTGTTTGACTTGGAAATTACCAGCCTGTGAATGTTATAGCCCTTGCATGAGATGTCTTGATTTACTTATCTGAATTTCATTGATTAGGAATTAATCCAATTGTTTGTTTAGTATGTATGCTAATGAAATAAATAGAACTATACACGAAAGCATAGTAAGAATAGCACTTGAAGCACTGTCTTGCTGGATATATGTGTGTGTGTGTGTGTGTGTGTGTGTAAAAGAATAAGACAGATATAGGGAATACCAAAATCTTCCCAACTTTTCTCTAGTAGTGGTAAGAATAGCAGAAATTATTTTTTTAAAGGAAATAAATTTGCTACAACAATTGAAAGCTTATATTTGACATTAGAGAAGTAAGCAAAAAGCAAATGGAAGAAAGATTTTTTTCATCCATACAAGAAACAACCCATGGCCTGTTGAAACAAATTTATGTTTCTTTGCAAATTGTGTAGTTTATACATATGACCTAATACAATTTGTCTTCTCCTTCAGGTTCTCTCAGGTTGCATGATAATTAACAATTAAATCATCCTTTGTCCCTTTCAACTTTATTTTGCTGCACATCTCTTTTTTCCACCTAAAATAAAACTAATGTAGTAAAGCCATGAAGAATAAAATTCTGCTCATCAAGTGTTGTGTGAATTGCTTTAGGATAATTTTGTGTAGATCACGGGAATTTTAGGTGTTGTGACTTTAAACTGCTTATAAAAGTTTTTGTTGTTTAAAGGCTGGTCTTAAATGTGGAACTGATAAGTGTGTGGGAGGGATTCAACATATTGCTCCTCCACTATGATTTCTGTGCTTCCTGATAAGATTTTTCTCAGCATTAAGTAATTTTTTTTTCTGAACTCACTAAGCATGAGCATCTTCATCTGCAGAGTAGCTCATCCTCACTAACCACTCACCACTGCTCTAATCTGTCGATCATGACCTTCCACCTTGCAGTGAATAGGAGCTTAGGCAGACATAGTGCTGTAAACCGATAGTGCCACTGGCTTCAGCTGAATGAAAAGAGAGGAAGTTGTTCCATATGCATTTGCTGTGGATTAGTGTATGGGCTTACTGTCACAGAGAAAGCCTGTTAGACTCCTTTGAGTCCTGCATGTGCATGGGAAACACCATTCTAATTTGCTCTTTTTGTTGGAGGTAAGACTATAGGAAAAACAGGAAATAAACCCAGTCCAAGGAAATTTAAAACTGTTTCCAAAAATAGACTGGGTTTGTTTGTCAACACTGAATATCAGATAAGATTGTCTCCTAGCTTTGCTGGGGAAAAAAAGTTTTAAAAATTCATTTGATCAATGTATTACAGATTTTTGAAATTTATTTTGAACTTTTTTTGTTGCAAATATGATCGTGTGCCTTTTTGAGTAGTCAAAAGTTACTGTTTTGAAATACAAAGAACAGCAGCAAAAAAATATTTTTGACCCACACTTTATTATATTACCAATATGAATTGACCCATGTTCCATGTTCTGCATTATGTTAATGATATATAAATATACCTAGAAAATAATATAAAAAGGCATTCATGTGCAGAAATGTAATAACTACTATACCTGAAAATTTGTTTTGCCCCACAGATTAATTGCATCATAATGGCTAGTTAAAAAACTCGGACTGTTTATTTGTTAAATTTTTTTTTCTTAGAGTCATAAAACATGAGCAGCCTAAAGTTTAATGTATATGAAGAAAATCAAGTGACAATTGAAGATCAGGAGAGAGGTTTAGCTTTTCTACCTCAGTAGCTTTGAATCAGAGCCAAATAATGGAATAAATGGCCAAGACATCGGCTTAGTGCTACGTAACATATTGTGAGAATTTATCAGATTGGCTGGCGGACTTAGAATAAATAAGGAAACACCAGCTCCTGTTTTAAAATTACCAAATTTTCATTTCCAAGGCAATATTTCAAATGCTCTATGAAACTATCAGAAAAATGTTAACAAACATTTAAATTAGTATTGTTCGGATTTTTTTTCCTCTTCTGTAATTCTGTACTGTTTTGTTCAAAATACATAGACCTAAAAATATTGCAAAGTAAGATTATAAAGGGGGAAAAATGTGTCTTTAACTGTATACTAGACTAACTCATTTCTGTATTTTCTTCTATTTCCATCTAGTCTTTTATTCCTAAAAGCACTTTGGATATGACAGAAATTAACTGTCCTTAGCTCAGTGAGAGAGCTAGTATTGTAAAGATCAATGCATTACTAAAACAGTAAAAATATTTTTCAGAACATTCTTAAATTATCATCTGTCTCTATTATTCCATTTTTAAAAGGAAAGATGTGTTTGCTGATTATAAATCCTCCATCAGAACATTTTAGAACTTACACTGAGATGAAATGAGGGGAAAATATACTAGTGTTTTCTTCAAGTGTCTTAAATAATACTTTCATTAATCCATATTCTTAAAGAATAAGGTTACAAATTTTGGATTTAAAGTAGCTGACATCTCTTATATATCAAGTAACACTTTAATAAAGGTCCATCATATTTGCATAATGAGGGACATTATCACCTCTGCTGTCAAAACACAAGATTGTTTTCCCTTCTGAAATGAATTAGCTGGCCTACTTTGCATACATAGGTACGGAAAGGTTCATTAACTCTCTGATTTAGGTAATTTTTCATATTAGATCTGTGATTGATATTTAAAATTAGAGGCACCTAATTCTGTTAAAATTTTCACAATGTATATTTCAGCCCTTTTCTTCACTTCTTGTTATATTGGTGGTTTGGTTTTTTTTTAAAAAGAAGCCTTTGAATTAAATTATTATTTCTCCATGCATTACTTATTTTATAGGTGCAGTAAATTTTTATTATAATTTACTTTTGAAATAAATTTTAATGTGGATGTTTGGGCAGCTCCATGCTAACTTTCATCTGGTTATCAATTTCGTAATAACATTTGATTTCCTTTCTGTGTTTAGCAGGGACGGATGCAGGGGACTGTGAACTGAGTAGTGCAAGTGCTGAAGAAAGAGGTTTGTTTTGAGGAAACAGGAAAGAGGAAGAAAAGAGAAGGGAAAAATACGTAATTTTAAGGAAGAAGGAGAGGAAAAAAAACGGGGACTATGGGGAGAAAAAAGATTCAGATTACAAGGATTATGGATGAACGTAACAGACAGGTGAGTTGCAAACATACCGCGTTTGAACATCATATTATATTTATAAGGTGACATTATCAAAAGTGATGAAAAGTTGATCATTTTGTGTGCCTATGCATATACCTACATATATGTATATATATACACAGTGTATCTAAGGCTATCAAAGAAAAAAAACTTTTATAAATGACCAGAAACCTCACAGACAGTGTTTTCAAGTTTAGTAACATACATAGTTAGGAATTTATTACTTCCGGCCTTGATTCTACAAAGTCTGATATTTATGCTCTACTTTGGGCCCCCTCACACTTGCTTTGACTTTCAGTCTGGAATACACATTGTTAAGCACATCTGTGAGTTGTTGCAGGATACAGACTGTTTGTACTGTGTTTTGTGAACTGTTATGAGTTATTATAATATGAGGACTTGCATTTAAATCGAGAGATCCCAACTATTTATGTTTCTACACCTTTGCAGTGTTTTTATTTTTACCTCCCTCATATAAAAAAAATTATACCAATTCATAAAAAAATCTCATATTTTCCTGACTGAATTTTAAATAAATTTGGGTAGCCTCACATATTCTAATACCCACATAGAATAATATTAGCATGTTGTAATTATGAAGCCAAGTGACCATCTCTGATGCTAGGTCCAGCAGGACTGGATAACTAATTATTACCTTTGCTTTACATAAAATGGCTGAGTCGCTGTCACATATTATCAACACTTTCTTTACTAGTTAAATTTTGACCATAAATTAGAGAATCTGCTTTCCTGTTTTCACAAAAATAAAATTCAGCAATTGACATCTTTAAATAAAATCAGTGAAAAGCTGCTGCTGTTTACATTTGATGTAAACGGATAGATGTTTTGTTGAAACTGGAGATTCACAATTGTTGAGAAACTCTATATATAATTATTTGACACTATGACTAATGTTCTTCATACACCTGACTGCAATTTAGGAATAATATTCAGTAGCTGATTTTAAGGGCTTGATACTTAATATAGTGATTCTGTTCATTCGATGTATAAATTTCTTTGTATATTCAGGTTGTTTTTTTAAGACATTTGGAGGATTTTATAAATCCATAAAAAACTCAGCCTAGGCATGACAACAAATTATATTCAATAAACATGCTTTCCAAGATTTTTTTAAATTTTGTAGTGTTAGTAGTCACTAGTGTTCTGCATGGGAAAAAATCATATATAAAAGCAAAATGATACATTTTGTGTTTTCCCTAAAGGTTACCTGTTCCTGTGGGACAAGTCAAAAAGCAGTAATTTTAGCAATATAAAACTATCACCATGTTTATTTTAATTGGCTGATAGCTTGGAGTTTCAATTGGATTTGAAATATTGAATTGAATTTATCATTGAATGTTAAATCACTAGCTGTTTGAAACTTGCCCATGCTACCCTGGTTTCTTTTTGAAGGGAACCTGAAATGTTTTGTAAATGGTACTACAAAATTTTGCCATTAGTAACATTAGTTCATACAACAGCTTCAGCGTCAACTTGCATACTTAAATACAGCATTTACAGAGACCCTAGCCCCACTTTTGCCAGAGATATCTTACTAAAGATAATTTACATTTTAAAAGGAAGACAACTAGTCTTTCAAGTCATGCAGAGTAGAATTTCAAGAATTCCATCACCAGCTTTCAGAACTAATAATAATGAATAAAACTGTAACACTAGAGAAATAAAAATTGTAGTGATAGTGCAGAAAGTGTTTATCTGCTAGCATTTCACAGTCTCATAGAATTATAGAATAGTTTGGATTGGAAGGGACCTTAAAGATCTTGTAGTTACAACCCCTCTGCCATGGACAGGGACAACTTCCGCTAGACCAGGTTGCTCAAAGCCCCATCTAGCCTGACCTTGAACACCTCGAGGGATGGGACATCCAGCTTCTCTGGGCAAGCTGTTCCAGTGCCTCACCATCGTCACAATAAACATTTTCTTCCTAATATTTGATGTAAACCTATTCTCTTTTGAGTCCATTTCCCCTTGTCCTGTCACTCCATGCTCTTGTAAACAGTCCCTCTCCATCTTTCTTGTAAGCTCCCTTCAGGTACTGAAAAGCTGTGCTTAGGTCACCCCAAGCCTTCTGTTTTCCAGGTTGAATCAAATTCAATATTTGCTAAGATCTATGATGTTGATCAGCCACTGTGAGGCTAGATGTATAGATTTACATTGTGCTCCACATAGTAAGACTGGCTTGATTTTCTTTCTTATTTCTACTAATATATTGTATTGTATAATTTTAAAAGTGTTTTACTGGTTTTATCCTCTTTGCATTTAGTGCCCTGATTTAGAGCTCAGTGAAGCCAGTGAAAAGATTTCCATTGATTCACTTGGACTTTTTAATTGTGACTCTATATATATATATGATTAAATACAACTGGATTTTCAATAATAGATGATTGATCTTTTAACCATTTGTATGAGATGTACTCTTTCACAAGCCTCACTGGTTCTTAAAATATAATGAATCCCATGAGATATTGCTGCTTCAGCATAGCAGCATCAGCTTGTTTTCTAACTTGAATACTTCCAGTAATCTTAAAAGATTAATTTGTTTATATTCATATATTGTCTTTTTATTTGATTGTATCAATATATACAGAAAAAAGATTAAAAGGTTGCACTGGAAAGAAAAAAAAGGTTAAAAGTTTTCAATTAATACAACTAAGATACCAGCTCAAGCACAGTTCCACAAAGCCTATTTGTAGCTCCATTTACAGGTGGAGAATTTTTCTTTCTTCCTCATGAAAACGTGTTTGCAAGAATGGCAGCAAATCAGTTGACTTGAAACTGCCTTAGTGTTGCTTATATTCAATACAGTGTGGTTTCACAACACAAGGTTTGTTAGATGGGAATATGATATACCTGGATGGTGCATCCTCAGCTGTTCTGAAGCACGTAAATTCTCTCCAGGACAGCACATGCAGGGAAAAGTATATGGAACACATATCAAATGAACAGATACAGCAATAGTTTAACTATTCTCTCCCAGTGCAAAGGTGAATCTATTTGGAAAGCAGAATTTTTTAAAAAGGTTTTCAGTTGTTACCAAGACCTGGGGAAGGTGGCTTCTGTCCTTGCTTTTCCACTCACTTACCTATTGTCCTGACTAGCTATCTGCATCAACCATTAAATTGTGTACTTATCCTGTCAGTATATCAGCTGTTTTCTTCCACACTACTTTCTACTATAGTAGGAGACTCCCCTGCTGTTCATTGTGGTTGTATGACTGGATTGGGAAGGACAAAGCTAGTGCTGACCTCTCTTCAAGAGGATTTCTTCTGAGGAAATCTAGTTGGTTGGATTTGTGTACTTTAGTGGCCATACTGTAATAAATGTAAGTCGAAACTGTCCCAAGTCAGATATCTGGCTGCAAATCTCAGAGAAATGTGCAGTATGGGGATACAATCTGCACTTTTCCAAAAACTATTTGAAACTTTGACATTTTGGGAAAGTCGAAGGGAAACTACTGCAACCTAGTCATTAGAGACCTGGTCCTTTTACCCTGGCCTGCATAAGAGCTCTGTCATTTACTTCAGTGATTGTAGAATTCAGGCTTTTAACTAGGAGGAGCCATTAATTAAATGTTGTTTCATGTGGGCTGCAAGTTGGCAGTATTTTTCTAGCCCTCGTAATTACCCTCTGGTGGCAAGGGTGGCAAGAATGTTTGAATCTTCTATAAGTGATCACAAATATGCTTTGGTTGTGAAAGTTTAGAAAAGCCAATCTGAAACATTCCCCTTCACTCTACTTTTTGCGATGGATAAAAGGAAAATGAATAATTGCCAGAGCTAGAGGAAGTGTGTATTTATTTGTGTAGTTTAATTACCACCATGATATTAAATGGGAATGAAAACTCCCAAGAGAATCCTGTTATAAGCAGCCAATGTGACTAGCAGCTTTCTTTTTATTCTTGTGACACTGGATAATAAAGTCTTCATAAATGTGGAATAAATCCCTAGTAATATTGTTCAGGCTCATGAGATTGTGTTAGCCTTGTCAACAGCCCATTCAAGCAGACTATGACTGCTTTCATGGTATGAATTACACCACCAATTGGATCAATAGCCAAAACTATTAGTGTTGACATCTGATGGTAGAAGTTCCCGATTGCTACAAGTTCTTTCTGCAGAAATTTCAATCAAGCAGATTGGAGAATGCTTCTGTGAAGACTTCTAGGTTGGTTAAAAAAAAATTAAAAAATTAGAAAAGTCATTTGGAAAAATGTGTGAACTTCATTTTCCTTTGGTTTATTATTTGAAAGAAATAATATAACTACTTTTATTATGGTCAACAAGTGAAGGAAAAATTGCATTCATCTGTCTCAGAAAAGTCCTTGTATTTTTTCTGGTTTTAATCTGTTAATTAATTCTGGTTTTAATTTTAAGTTTAATTAATTCTGTTTTTAAAAGTTTGTAATATTTTGTTGTTTTAACAAGAGCCTTTTGTGGTTCTGCTTTAGACTAGGATCATCTGAAACCCTCTTTGCAGCCATCCAGGCAGGGCTGTCCAGACCTAAAATAAATAGTTGTAATGACGTAAATGATATTGTATTACTGTTAAACAAGGTCACTAACAAAATATCTCATTAAATCCATGGTCTGTGAGCTAAATCCAGAGGTACATTGACCCAGGAATGAGGGCATATTGACTTGATAATATTCTGGAAAACCCTCTTGCTTTTAATACCCCTTTTTTTTTCAGTTAGTATTAAGAAATATGAGGTCTCACCATTCTTTGTCCCTCTGATCATCTTGCTCATTAGTTCTGCATTTTTTTCCTTTTTGTGAAAGTTTACAATTAAAACTGAATTGACCTGACTAATTATTCTGCACACCGTTCAAAACGCTTCTTTCAATTTTGTAATGAGCAGCTGGGACCTTGTTATTAAATACCATAAGAATTGTGCACTTTAAGGTGCCTAAACAGTGGTACACCCTTTTTCAAGTATCATGTCTGTGTCATTCAGTGGGGTATAACAGTAAGAA